TTTCATTTCCAATCCTTATACATTTTTTGCCTTATTACACTTTGTAGTAAGAATTACGTTATCATTCAGTACAATGATGATTAGAAGTGATAAGAGCAAGCATCCATGTTATTCTCAGTTTTAAAGGAAAAGTTTTTAACATTTCACCATTGTTTTTATCAGAGTTTAAAAAATTAAATCCCCTATTAGGTAAAAAGTTCCTTTTAATTACTAATTTTATTTCTGGCATAAATTAATATTGAACTTTATCAATGCTTTTATCAACCATCTATTTAGATGGTCATATAATGGTTCTTTTTTTTCTGTTACTATGATAAATTAAGTTGATTATCAAATGCTAAACCAGCCTGTACTCCTGTAATAAACCCAGGGCATTCTTTTTATACATTTCACGGTTTGATTTGTTTGTTTGTTTAGGAGTAAAAAATATTAGGATTCTAATTCCTTAAGTTCAAAATTGATAGAATATAGAAAAAGAGTTTGTAGACTTAAGGATTTGTTTGTGGTATATTTAGCAATATCAGGGCTCACACAGCTATAATAAGAGAGAGTTTTCCAGGAAGTTTTCCCAAAAGGGTTCTGGATTCTTTTTTTTTTAAACTAAAGCTAATCATCAAGCTTTCTTATAAATTCAACTGTGGTCTAGGTATAGAAGCCTTAGAAAAAGAGATTGCTACTCCTAATTTTCATTAGCATGTTAGATTCACTTCACAGCAATAAAGCCAACACTTGAGATAAGCAATTAACAAAAATACAAATAATTACATGTACACATATGATTATGATAGGTCTTTGAATGGGAAGCATCACTTGCAAAAATCAAACTTGACTCAAACAGAAGTGTTCATCCAGGCCTTCAGCAGTATGAGACTACCTGGAAAAGACTAGACTTGGTTCCCAAAATTCATGCCATGTTCTTTTAGCCATTTTATTTGTGTCTAGAGAATGAGATTTCCAGATCCTTTTCTTCCAGGCTTCTGAATAAACACAGAAGACTTACTAGGATAATCAAGGAAGAAGAAACAGTGAGCCACACTATGGGATGAAGGCTGCCCAAGGCTTTTCAGCAGATAGGCTTCCTGCAGTCCTCACAAAGCAGTCGTGCGGTCAACACCTAGAAATGTGCTAAACTCACCGACTTATCAAAAACAAGCAACAGACAAGTTACTCTGAACCTCAGAGGATGTCTGAGATGAGTCAAGATTTAATCATTTGTGTTTCCCAAAGTTTGTGCAGCTGCCTTGTNTCAGAAACTCCACTTTTCAGAAACTTTTAGTACCATAAATAAATTTTGTGTTTTTGAAATTAATAAAATGCAATCATAAAACATGTAATCTATTGTGTCTGGCTTCTTTTGCTCAATATTATGTTTATGAGATTCATCCATGTTGTTATGTGTAACTCATTATTATTTCTGTATAGTTTTCCATTGTATGAATATATTACATGTTACTTATATGTTGTCTATTGATGGCATTTAAATTGTTTCAGACTTTGTTATGGAAAACACTGTTTTAAATGTTCTGTACATGTCTCTTATTGAACAAGGCCACAAAATTCCTGCTGGATCTTTACCTAGGGGTGCACTTTCTGGATAACAGGTATGTACATGATAAACTTCAGTAACAAATGCTAGATATTCCACAGGAGTTACATCAATTTACACCCCCACTAGCAGTGTGTGAGAGTTTCAGTTGCTCTACATCCACACTAACACTTGGTATGGTCACACTTTTTTATTTTTACCAATTTGGTGGATCTGTAGTGGTTATGGCATTGTGGCTTTAATTTGAACTTGCCTGATTACTAAAGAGATTTCATCCCTTTTCATATACTATTGGCCATTTGGATATACACTTTTGTGAAGTATTTGTCCAAGTTTCATGACCATTTTTAGATTAGAATTGTTTGTCTTTTTCTTATTCATTTCCTTTGTCAGTTACATATGTTGTAAATACCTTCTCCCAGTCTGTAGCACCCATTTCCCAAGGTCATGAAGANAGACAAGAAAGGAAGAAAGCATTTTACCACTCCCTGATGAATAACAAAGTAGCTAACAGTAGCCTTGGGTATTGAAGAAATTTAAAAACACACAGAGAAAACCTGCCTTAGGTTGATATTAATTACTATTATCATTGACTTCTGGTGCTCAAATTGTTCTCCATGGTAGAGTAAGGAGTCCTTGCTTTCTGGCTCCCTGGGGCAGTACTTTTCCCCCACCTGGAAAGTTTCACATGAAACATACAATGTCCTGTGTCAGAAATACCAAACACTTAAACACTTAAAGATTTTAGGCTTCTAAAGACATGAAAACGTTTGCTAGGCTTTATCTAAAGGTACAACAAAAACTATAGGGGCTATATTCCAGACTTCTTGTATAAGTTAAGAGTGGAAGGTATGTTTTCCATTTTGGTATGTGGCATGAATAAGTAAAATACAAACTTATGTATGGGAGGATCATTCAATTTTAACAACACATGCAAGTCAGAGATATAGTTCAACAAATGCAGATTTCTGAAATACAGGTTTTTCTGGGTACTTATTCTGAAGTTCTTTGAAAATCTGGCCAAAACAATCCCATTTTAATTTAGTACCAGTTCACATAATAAGCAAGTCAGAACATTTGCAAGGCAAGATGTTGTTTTCCTTTATGCTGCCAGCAAAAACAGCTCTAAGCTTAGGTGTAATGATAAAAGGATTTTGGAGCAGCTGATTTTAGGGAATCAGAAAAAAACAACCCAACCTTATGCCCCAAGGTATAAAGATTATGCAGAGTCTGCATTGTGTTTCTAGTGTCAGGACAAATCATTCTGCTTTTTTTCAGTGTAACTGATGCCAGTAGACGAGTAAAGGGAGAAATAAATGTACAAACTAGGAACTGTGGCTTCGTTAGGTAACATCTGTATCAAACAATCATGAATTCTCTCTTTTATTTTGTAAATTCTTTCAGGTTAATTTATATAATGTTTGAAAAATTTAGAAAGAATGGTATACATATTATTCTGAAGGCCACAACTCTTCTGCTATTTATGGCTTAGATGGTGAGAGACTTTACAGATCACAGCACCTTTAAGAAAAATCAGTGGCCTTTTGGGGGGAGATAAGTGAAGGGGTGAAATAATTATGTGATGCATTCCTTTAAATCAATTTGGGAATGGTGAATACAGTTGCATATGTAAAATAAAAACTATTGAGTGCTTCCTAATACCTACTGCTGTTCTCATTGCCTGTAATGAAATCTTATTTAATCTCCAATCCCTAGGAGGTCACTTTATACCCCATTTTTACCCACTGAGGAAACCAAGGCACAGTGACACTACATTACAAAGCACATAAAATGATGGTGTCGGGATTTGAGCCTAGGCAATTTGACTCCCACATTTAAGTTTTGTGTTTTTTTGAGATTTTATTAAGGAATCGGGGAAGGGGAACAAACAAGTTGCTGTCCTTTTGTTCTTCAGTCTAGTTGTGCAGGACATGGCTTCACTGGCCCATGTTGGCATCATCATTGCGCTCTTCCTGGTGAGGCAGTCACTGGCCGGCCATTGGACGGCCGCTCACGGCAGCCCACAAAGGTGCACGCCAGCTGCTGGCCCGCCCCAAAGCAGCCCAGCTCCAGGTTGAGCTGTTGTTCAGCATCTTAGCTGTAGAGGGCAGTGTCACTGGCCCTCATATGTGGGATCCAATCCGGGGCCCTGCTGCTCAGAGCTGGTGTCCCAAGCCAACTCTTAACCAATTTGCTACTCGGCCGGCCCCCACATTTAAGTCTTTAATCACTGCATTAGGTGTCCAGGTTCTGTATTTACATCCAACTGCGTAGGGCTTAGTCTTCTTCTGGGTCCCGGCCACTTCTCAGCCATTATCAAACAGATGTTAGTAAAGAGACAGTGTCAACGTTTAAAAAGGCCATTTGCTAAGATTGAAAACACTGGCCCCTTAAAATGCCCAACTTCCTCTTGACTCAGAAATTACTCAACTGTCTTTCCCTAAACCCAGTGCTCCACCCAATTTAGTTAACTTTGTTGTTGCACAGCAACAGAACATGCCAACAGGAAACCGAAGAGGATATTTTAGATGGAGGATGTCGCTGCCCAATATTCAGCAAGGGCCAGGTTTGCCTCAAACGTCTTAATTCTGGACCAATATGATCTTATTTAGGGGTTGTTCTACTTCCTTGATTGCGCCTCAACAAATTTCATTGGCCTACATTTTCTCTCAGATTTCACTAAGAGTTGAAGCCAAGCCAAGGAATCTAAATTTTGAGGTAGAATACAGTAGAAAACCAGTGACTGGACCGCCGACTTTGTGGCAACAAAGGCTAGAAATGAGCTCACCTGCATCCATCCGCAGGGAATCTTGGAGAGATTGCTAACATGTTGGATTCTCAACAGGCCACTTAACTCAGCGCTGCTCTTTTGTGGCCGCTGCATTTGGGGAGTTTACAAGCTGTACATTTAACACAGAGCAGGCCCTGCGACTTTTGATCCCGTCAAGTGTGAGGAAATGCCTTTGCTGTGGTGAGCGAGAAGAGACAGACGGGAGCCAAGAGAATGGGAGGGGCATGCTCAGGCGTAGGGCACAACACACACAAAAACATGAAAGGTTTTGCACGGAAAGAGGAGGGACGGGAAGCCGCGAAGAGAAGCGCAGTCTCGTCGGACCCGTCAGCGCGGCACGCACCCTGCGCGACCAAGGCTCTAGACTGCGCGCGCGCGCAATCCCGCCGGGCTAAAACGCTGGGCGGAGCAGAGCTGCGAGCGTCAGTCAATCTGGCCAATCACTCGTCTCTGCCGCCTCCTTCCTGGCCCCGCCTCGCCCCGCCCCGCCCTCGCGCCCTTGCGGATGCTCGAGGTCGCGCGCGCTGCAGTTGCCGCTCGCGGGCGCTGCGTGAAGCGGAGCTGCGCGTGTCAGTTATTCCGGCCAATCACACGTCTTTTCCGCCTCCCGCGCGGCCCCACCCCTGGAACGGGAGCTTTCGCGGCCTCGGTTGCTAGGTTTTTCTACACTCTGGGGATGGCGGAGGGAGATAGTATACGGGGTGGCGAGTAGATGTTTGAGGGCTGGACTGCTTCCGGCATCGGCTGTGCAGTCGAACAGAGCTCCTTTCCGGTCGGGGTCAGGGCACCTCTCAGTCCCACTTCAGGCCTGGTGTCTCTCGAGGGCTAGTGCGGGTTTTCTGCAATGGTGGGAGGGAAAGAGGACTCTTCCCTCTGGTTTCTTTTACCTGTAAAGTTGATGCCTTTGAGAAACAAACTTAAGTCCACTCTCCTTTTCGGGGTCTATTCACTACTAAAAACGATGCAAACAGCCGTAAATTTATCTGTCCTTGTGTTCCTTATCCCTCAGGCTTGGAGCATCATTGGTTCTAGTCACACAGCTTTTAGGGTTTAGGGTAGTGTGACTGATCATGTTCCTTGAGTCGATGTCTCAGTTATATTTCCTTTCATTATGAAGCTGGCGTAACGAAATGAAAGAATTATTTACCCCAACCCCCATATGGCAGATTTAAGAATATTTTGATAAAAACAAACGGAGAGTCTTGTTTATATGAGACGCTAGTAATTGGTCATGAGAAAACACAGTCACGATGGACGGACACAACCTTGTTTAGGAGGGTAAATGGTAAATGACAACAAAAAGAGCAAAAGGGAATCACAACTAAGGGAAAGAGGAAGTTACTGGCTTACTTGCTGATGTTACCTACATTTAAAAGCTTCTTTGATAAAAATTGAGGGATGGATGTATGGAGGAGGTGTGGGTTAATTTGATTGCTATTTTGTGCTTATTTTTGTCTTTTTTTAGCGGTAAACCAAGGTTGCATTTTCAAGATGGAAAGCCCTTCAGACTCAGCTGTGATATTACCTAGCACTCCACAGGCCGGTGCCAATCCACCGTCTCCCCATAGAAGTAGTTCAAGAAAACAAGTATGAAAAATCTTAGTTTTTTTTCAGTGGAGCAATTCTATCTTTTATTATTATTATTATTATTATTATTATTATTATTATTATCATTATTATTAGTTTCAGGTGTACAGAATAATGCAATAATTATATTTTTCACCAATTTTGTCATTTCTAATTGTTGTGGCAATGGTGGTTTTAAATCTACTGAAGCGTGTATATTAACATGATGTGTAGCATTAATGAGTATGTATTAAATAATTTTAGATTTTCTAAGATAACGTATTTGACCTTTCCCCACCCCCAAATTTTCATCTTGAATCAATTATTTCCTTTAGTTTCAGATCAGGTTATTAAAAAATTAAAAATTGAAGAAGTTTGAATCTGCATTGTCATGAAGGTCTTCGGTGGCAGAATCTATCTAGGTCTTCTCCTTAATTTGTAACTGTTGAAGCACCTAGAGTAGTGCAAGGCATGTGCTAGTTGCTGAACAAATGTTTGTGATTACTGGGATAAGTGTCTCAACACTATTTTAGAAGAGTGCTGACTTTGCTAAAATAAAAAGAGAATAAAGCTAATGGAGCTTCCAGGAATTAAACATTTTGTGATGGTTACTTTAGATACATGGAGACAGAAAGCCATCTAGTGGTGTGTACCATAGAAATGTAAAGTCTATTTCTAGTAAATTTATTTACATCAACAATGTTTTTCTTGATGAACATTATTAATGTTTGTGCCTTTTTACAGCCTATGAGTGCAACACTTAGAGAAAGGTTAAGAAAAACTAGATCTTCATTTAATTCCTGTTACAGTGTGGTAAAACGTCTTAAAGTAGAGAATGAAGAAAACAATCAGAGCTTTTCAGAGAAACCAGCATCTTCCACAAAAGAAAGCTGTTTGGAATTTCAAGAAAATTTTAAACACATTGACAGTGAATTTAGAGAAAGTACGTATTTGAAAAATACCTTCAAGAATATCAGTGCATGTGAATCTACTGGGTCTTGCAGTGATCTCCAGAATGACTTTGTGAATCAGAATCTTCCCAAACAAGGATTAAACGAAGAAAAATCAAAATTGGTGAAGCAGATTCAAGAGAAAGAAGACCTTCTTCGGAGGCTAAAACTAGTCAAAATGTATAGATCAAAGGTGAGAATAATTTCAGAACAATTGCTTAATTATTTTAAAAAATTTTTAATTATTTTTTAAATTTATTTTTTACTTTTAGATAAATGATAGGAAAGTCATTTCAAAAAGAGAAAATTATTTAGCATAATAAGCAATAAGCTAAGTTTAATCATTTAATATGCAGTTGAAACTTTTCCAGCCTGTAGCAGTATTTGAAGTATCAAATGTTAGACACAAGTACAATGAGAACAGAAGTGACAGCTGACAGTGAGTGATTTATAAAAGCTAAAAACGGGCCACAGAGTACATAAAAAGTATTTTTACTAATAATCTTGTGCCTCCAAATTATTAAAGTTTTCAGGCATTTTGTTTGAGAAAACACAAGTATATATTCGAGTTTAGATTTCAACCCAGATAGGTTGAATTAAATAGAACTTGGGCACTTGGCAGACGATAACCTTTACTTACTAGGATCACTCATGTATATGTAATTGCTCCTTCTTCCCCAGCGATATGGAATAAATGATGGAATAATATATCTTATTTGCGCTCTTGAGTTTTTAAGATTGTCCTAGATAATAACTGCTTTCATTTTATGAGGCAGTGAATGTTGAAAAATATTTTTAATTTGAATATTCTCAATTTTAAAGTACAGTTGTAATAAGAAAAGTGAATTTTTTTTCTTACCTACCTTGTTCCTTCTCTATATATGTAGTTTTGCCCTATTTAATGATTGATTTTTCCCTGACAGCGAGGAAGGCCCAGAGCTTAGACCAAACAAAATAGCCATAGAACTCAATTTGAATGTCATTGTAACTGTTCTACTTAAAACCACCCTACTTCTTCCTGGATAGAAGTCCCCATTCATGACAAGTGTGTTACCCTTTAAACATACTCACTGACTGATTTAACAGCTTTCATTAAGTAAAAATAGGATGCCTGTCTAATTATATATTTATAATTTTTTTCTTTTCTGTTTCAGAATGACCTGTCACAGTTACAGTTGTTAATAAAGAAGTGGAGAAGCTGTAGCCAGCTGTTGCTTTATGAGTTACAGTCAGCCATGTCCGAGGAGAACAAAAAACTCAGCCTTACTCAGTTGATAGACCACTATGGATTAGATGATAAATTGCTACATTATAACAGAAGTGAAGAAGAATTTATAGGTGTTTAATTTATATTTTTTCCTCCAGAATATCTTTGAGAATGACAGCTTAAAAGATACTACATTTTAAAGTGAAGATATAAACCATTAGGGGTTACAGGAAGGTATCTTGATGAACATCAATTTAGGTTACTCAGTTATATAAATGTAAACTAAGTTCTAAAATGCAAACTTTTTATTTTGGATAAATTTGCCAAAGAAAATTTTACATTTAAAAACTGTGAAAAAAAATTTTAAATCCTGTTTTAAAAATAATTTGGGCATTTCTGGAAGTTGTAATACATTGTTTTGTTTATTGTGGTAAAAGGTTTTTAAATGTTAAAAAAAAGTCAATGGCGACTGGACTTGGAGCTGAGCTAGCTGTGCCCTCCACAACTAAGACTGAAGGACAACAACTTGGCTGTTCCCCTTCTCCAATTCCCCAACACTGTTCCCCTATCCCAATTCCCCAATAAAATGTTTAGAAAAAAAAATAGTCCAATCTGGTGAATGTCTAAACAAGCGGTTCTCAACCTTCCTAATGCTGCGACCCCTTAATACAGTTCCTCATGTTGTGGTGACCTCCAACCATAATATATTTTCGTTGCTACTCTATAACTGTAATTTTGCTACTGTTATGTAAATATCTTTTTGTTTTCCGATGGTCTTAGGCGACCCCTGTGAAAGGGTCATTCGACCCCCAAAGGGGTCACGACCCACAGGTTGAGAACCGCTGGTCTAAACCTAAACTGGGAAAAAAATTGCTTGCCTCTATCCTAAGTTTTTGAATCTGCTTCCATTTATTTAGCATATTATTTCCATCTGGATGGTCCTGCAGGTAATTAAACTCATGTCCAAAATTATATTCCTCCTGTCTCTTCAGATATGTTTCTTGTATACCTTATCTCATTTAGTGAAATGACTATCTCTTACAAAACCACATATCCTTCTCTCTCATTTCAAGGTAGCATGGCCTACCAGGTCTTTCACATTCATCTACTTTTCTAGCTTCATCTATGAAATAGATTAAACTAAGATTTTCATACTTCTTTTCTTGAACTACTTCTGTGGGGAGATGGTGGATTGGCACAGGCCTGTGGAGCGCTAGGTAAGATTATAGCTGAGTCTGAAGGGCTTTCCATCTATTGGGTTGTCGGAAAAGTCATGACGCATTTTTGCAACGAAAAACAGAAAAAATACGTCATGACTTCCGACAACCCAATAGCAGGTTCAGTTACTCCTCAGCCAGAAACCCACCTTCATAGGGTTTTGTTTCTGGCTGCCGTGTTGTACGTTACCTGTCGTCCTGGCCATATACAGAAATATGACCCACGCTAGCCCAGTCTCTGAGAATTTGGACTTCTGCTCAGGAAAAGAAAGCTCATCTCTTTTTGTGGCTGAGCTGTTTTATGTACTTGTAACCTTGGAGGCAGAAAAACTTGTGTACTTCCAGCCTTGTGGGATTTCTGGGTGTCTGTTTTTGGGTCCTTTTAAGGGCTAAATCAGCTTTAGTTAAAAAAAAAAACCAACCTCCATACTAGTAGAACTCCTCCTCCAAGCGCACCCCACTTTTAGCCCAGTCTCTCCCATATTCTAACAAACTTAATATTTGGCATAGCAGGAGACCCAAGGACTCAGCTCTTGCATCCAGTCTAATTGTTAGTGCCCTTACCAGTAAACGCTTACCCTGCTCCTATCTCCTCTGCCTTCTAGACACTGCCACTGCCATTGGCTTCTGTGAACCCAAGAGGACTGGTCCAGGCCTCACATGGTCCTCCCCTGACCCTGGGGTTCCTAGATGGGCACCCCTGGGGAGCCGTTCTGTTTTGTGCCTACCAGCCTCTGTCACTGCTTGCTGCCCAGCCAGAGAGCCTAAATGTGGCACAGGAAGGGGTTTCCCTGCTGATGGTGCTGGCATTTGTCTACAGCTGACCACTGCTGACTAGCACATCCCCTGGAGTCACCATGACATGTTCACTTGGAGAAACTACAGCATCAGTGGGAGTCTGGTTCTGGGAGAGTTCAGAAGATCAGATGGGGTCATAGTAGTGGGCATTTCCAAGGCATTGGCTGGATGCTGAGGGCTCCAACAGTACAGCGGGCACTCCAGCAATAGGAGGTGGGTCGTGGATCAGGCTTATGGAAGAGTTTGGGGCCTAGGGATACCTGTGAGGTGGTCCTTTTTTTTTTCCCCCATTTCTGTTCAATTTCACCTCCATTTAATGGGATACATTTACAGGCATACCTGAGAGGTATTGTGGGCTCTGTTCCAGACCACATGAACTTTTTGGTTTCCCAGTATAATTTGGCTAATTTTGGCACAAGAGGCTTGGTTTTCAGCTTGTCTCAGTTTTCGACATGCCTTCCTCATTAAGCTTAATCATTTCTAGCTTTTGATTTAAAGTGAGAGATGTGTGACTTCATTTGAACACTTAGAGGCCATTGTAGGGTTATTAATTTGCCCAATTCAAATGTTTGTCTCAGGGAACAGGGATGCCCAAGGAAAGGAGCAACCAGTCGGTGAGCAGTCAGAACACACACATTTATCCTTTAAGTTCACTGTCTTATATGGGCATGGTTTGTGGTGCCCCAAAATTACAATAGTAACATCAAAGATCACAGATCACCATAACATATATAATAATAATGAAAAAGTTTGAAGTATTGTGAGAATTACTAAAATGTGACACACAGACATGAAGTAAGCAAATGCTGTTGGAAACATGGTGCCAATAGACTTGCTCAAAGCAGTGTTGCTACAAACAAATTTGTAAAACAACACAATATCTGAATCACAATAAAGCAAAATGCAATAAAATGAGATAAGCTTGTATTGAAAACCACTGAATAACATTTTTATAAAAATGTATAAGTTATCACCTTAGCACTTGGTTTGTATCAGTTTAAAAAATGTTAACTCATTTGAATATTACAATTACCAACACCCCAATTTTCAAGATAAAAAAGTTTAAGATTAAGTAGTTATTTAAAAACTAAGTTGTTATTTAAAACTGAAGTGGCAGAGCCAGGATTTTAAAACCAGGATTTAAGTGCTATGCTTAAGGCCATGCTATGTTTGACCCAATTAATTATATTTCTTAATAATATAGATAATATTTTAAAGGGCTATAAAAATATAATTGCTATTTCAGCAGAAGCTGAGAGGAATCAGTACCATGGACAGTATCAAGAGTAGGTTGGGATGCATGACCCATGTGCCCTTCCAAAGCCAACCCCCCAAACCAGAAGTTACCTCCTGTTGAAAAGTACTGCTATTAGAATACAGCCTGAGGGCAAGGGGTTCCTGCTAACCTCCACTCTATCCATGTCTCAAAGCTGTGGCATTCAAGCAAGGAGCATTGCCAGAGTCGCCCAGGGTGGCCACTAAGAAATAGAAATCACACAGGCTGTTCAGTTTGCTAAGACCTGAAAATCTACAGAGCATTATCTAGTGAAATTTATGGCATTCACTATTAGCAAACGGAGCCTCCAGGCAGCTCATTTAGGTGACATGGAATTTGTATCACCAGAAAGAAAAAAAATCCTAGTATATCCATGGTTGACTCAAACCAACAGGACAGAGAACTTCTGACTATTCCATCTTAAATACAGAGTATTTGTACTTTTCATACACTTCTCCACCCTTGTGTCCATCCTCTCACCCTACACAGTCCCTCTGTCAGAGATAATTTTGAAGGACCATAGATGTAGGGTTACCAATGGGCACTCCCCCATTGAATCAGCCAAACTGACTACGTTAGGAGTCATTCTAGTACTAAGGAGGGGAGTCATCAAAAATGTTGGTCCTATAATTTTTCTTACCATTCCCATCCAGCATTGATTGGTGCATGGGTGAGCAATTGTGGTACTATCCTGGTAATTTCTAAATAAAAGATTTAAAATCTAAAGATTTTTTTCTAAGTAGTTTTTTTTTAAAAGATTTTATTATTGGGGAATTGGGGGAGGGGAACAGACAAGTTGCTGTCCTTTTGTTCTTCAGTCTAGATGTGGAGGACGTCGCTTCACCGGCCCATGTTGGTATTATCATTGTGTTCTTCCTGGGTGACACAATCACCGGCCATTGGACGGCCGCTCACAGCGGCTCATGGCAGCTCACGTGGCCTGCTGCCGGCCAGCCCCACTGTTGCTGGGTGGAGCTGTTGTCCATCATTTTAGCTGTAGAGGGCGCAACGTCACTGGCCCTCATATGTGGGATACGAATTGGGGCCCTGCTGCTCAGAGCTGGCATCCCAAGCCAACTCCTAACCAACGTGCCACTCGGCCGGCCCTAAGTAGAAGTTTTTATAATAGCTCTCTTGCTTTACCTACACCAGTGTACACTGGACATGGTGTTACCGATTAAACTTAACAGTTAATTAACAAATTGCAAAACAATGAGACATTGACATAACTTGGAGATTGTGGTCAATGATCCCAGTGGTATCATCTTGGAATGCAGCAGTCCATAGGCTATGGAAGGGCAAAGCAGTTTTCTGACCAGTGAATCTTATCATTTAATTATCATCTACATGAATACAGCAATAAACTTTTCAAAGAAATCAGAAAACGCTTTTTTTTCTGTTCGCTAAACCCTATTGAGTAGGGCACAAAATTGAGTTCCGTAACAATGAATATGAAATGTTGAAGATTATGTTATGTTTATGTAGAAAAAAATATACTGTAATTTACAAATGATTTAGGACTTGGTAAAAGTAAACAGTTCACCTTGTTCCGATAATTTTATAAAATTAGAAATGCCAGTAGTGACTTAGAATAATTTCGTTTTGTCTTTAAGACTTTCTACGCTATTACTATGAAAACACTTTTTGATCAAATTAAGACTAAATAAATAAAATAGATTTTGAATACTTTCTGAGTTAAAATCTTGTTCATTCTTGAAAACAATTCATGATAGTTTATACATTTATTCAGGCAGGACGAACATTTTTATAATGATTAAAGCTAAAATTAAATAATTTATATTAAAAATATGCAACTGAGAAGAGGCTCTACTTAAGTTTCCTGATATGAAAGAATAAAAAAATCATTTTAATCAAATGAAATTATTTTTTAAATGATTGACTTGGCCTTGTGTTTCCCACCAGTGCTTTTACATTGGAACAAGAGCAGGAAATGTTTTCATTCTTAGTCTTTCAACTTCGGCTTGCAGTATTAAAATCTGTTCAGCTTGTTCTTTTGAAATATTTGTTAACTTTTGCTGTTGTATAATGTTTTCATATCGTTCTTTGGCAATCTTTTCACAAGTCAATTTAGACCCTATCCCAAAAATGAAGAAGAAGGGAATTAGTTGGATTATTATCTATACTTTTAAATATAGAAATAGCACTGAGTCAATTAAACATGTGGAAGAAACGCTGGTAACTTTATAACAACTATATAGATTTCAGGAATACTGATTACTTTTAAAGAAACCTACAGTTAAGTAAGGAAAAAAGATGCTTACCTAATGCATTACAGATGTCTTTTCTCTCTGAGACAGCCACCAACTCTTCTCGTAAATTGCAGCTTAGAGTATAATTTGCTACATCTTTTTGATTGCTGAACTTTCCCAGTTTTTTTAGTAGTTTTTTGCAGTTTTCCACATTCTTTTTGTGGGTCTGTAGTGTTTGTTCCCATGATACCACACAAAAATAATTTGAAAAAAAAGATATTTTATAAAGACATTATTAAATTTTAAATTCATTATCATTAAGATGTCTTATCGCCATATCCCTAGTGCCTAGCATAGTACCTGCACATAGTAGGTACACCTAAATTATTTGTTGAAAGATAGAATGGTATGTTAAACCCACATTTCAGAAAAAAATCTTATATATTCTTAAAAATGAGAGAAGGTAAAAAAAACACATATCTTTGTGATTACTTTGTTTTAATTTTATATATACGACACAATCAAAACTGAGCATTTGTTAAGCAGTTATTTAAAAAACGAAGCCTTTACAATGCCAAGGAAAGACTAGCAACACTTCTATTACACAAATCATAACCTAACATTTAATAGGAAATTCATGTATACTCAGATATCTCCTAAGGGGTTAATTCTAACATTAAAAGAAGTGTTTCAGTCTACCAGACTTGTTATGGTTGTAAAGACACTATTCAGTGACCTCAAATTACATCCTGAATATCAGTAAAGGACCAAGATTTTGTTAGGCCCTGTTTGAATTCATGATTTGGAACACTATTACTTTGTTCAAATGAATCACAACTGTTGGGATTATAATGATCTATATCTTTGAGACTTACCTTATCTAAAACAGCAATGGTTTGCTCCATTATTCCAATCTGAACGTTAATCAGAGTCTCATAGTTTGGTTCACTTAGGTACTTTGAGAGAAAAAAAAAAAAACCCCACCATATATGTAAGGATAGTTTTCTCCATTTCTTTCAATAGATCACTTTATAAAAATTATCTTAGTTATGAAAGTTACTGTTTTCATAAAAATTACCCATCTAAGTTAAGATTGATTTGACTTCTTGAACCATAATATTTACATGTATTTAGCCACTGAAATCCTCACCTAATGCTAATAATTACAAATGCCTAGAGTTTATTTTCTCATTGATTCATTAATTTATTGATTCAATTCACCAAATAATTTTTGTCTCCTTTGAGTCCCATATTAGCAGTGACCCAGTTAAAGACACTGAAGGAAGCATATAAAGACAGATAACATGACTTACCTTCAAGAAAAAGAGAACATGTAGAATTGATTAGTTACCAGAAAATATGTAAAAAGACATGCAAATTCAAAGGTGGTTTGAGATGAAATGTGGTTTCTCTGGACTTGGGAAATCAAAAGGCTTTATGGAGGAGGTGGCATTTAAGCTAGACCTTAAAAAATGGATTTGGGATGTGAAAAAAAAATGAGGAAAGATATTCCAGGTAGAAGGACTAGGCACAGACATAGAATCGAGAAAACAGTAATCAGCTTGGAAAAGTGATGTAGGAGAGGAACAATGGGAATTGAAAAGTTAGGCTGAAGAACACTGAGCACCCTAAGGATTTCATAATTCATTTGCCAGGTAAGAAGTGGCAGTGTAAAATGTTTGAGCAGAGTAGTAATGTTATTAGAGCTGAACAGGAATATTACTCTGACAGTAGTGTATAGTATAGATTAGATAAGAGAAAGACCCAATTGGGGTCAAGCGACTAGTTAGGCGATTATTACAAAATAGTCTAAATTGTTGAAAAAGAAGTCTTGAGCCAGGGTAGAGGCAGTGGGAATACAGAATGAGGGAATAAAATAGATAAACTAGGCAAGGCTTGGAAGGCTAGGTAAAGAAGGGACTCAAAGATGACTACAACTTTAAGCCTGAGTGAGTGGCTGAAAAGAACAGGAATAAGCAAGACAGCTGCTTGGAGGTGGGAAATATAGAAATAAAGCTTGAGGGAGGTCAGGGCCAAAGAAGTTGGGTTGGAATTGGAATTCAATTGGAATCCAGAGAGCTTAGATTCGTCCTTTAGAAGTGATCATTGAAGTTAGAAAAATAGAGATCATCAGAGGAGAGGGCATGGAAAGAAGCACAAACAGAGCAAAGGGCAGAATCTTAAAGAATATTTAAGAGTTGGAAGCCAAAGAGAAATCAATAAAAGAGGCAGAATGGTCTTACATGTTGGAAGAAAATCAGGAGAAAACACAGATGATAACAGCCAAAGGAATGGTCAATTAAGATGGTCAAATGCTATATAGAGTTGAGGGATGGTGATAACTGGGAAAGGGACCACTGGATTTGGCAATCAGGAAATCCTCAGTGAACTGCAGGATAGAACTGTTCAACTGAATGGGTTATGAAGAACCAAAGGCAGCAAATGTAAGTTACTGGAAGAAAAAGACAGAATTCATAGGCACACTATGAAATACTACTGGCTGAGAAAATGCTCGATATCACAGAGGCATCTTATTAAATACTGGTTGAATGAATAAATGCATTAATGAATGAAATTAAAGTTTTATATTGGAGCAGGGAGAACTTACCTTTTGACGTTCCCTTGAAAAAAACAGCATCTGAATATCCCAAGCCTTCTGATTGAGATCTTCCATTTCCATCTCCATTTTCTTATGTTCCCACTCAGTCTGAAATATTCCTTTGTGGATATCTTTACTTTCCATCATGCTAGTAACTTTCTTTTGTCCTTGAGTCTTTTATAAAAAAAAATAGGTACAGTCTGATATTCATATAATACAATTCTGCATAAAGAATATAGAATATTTGAAGCTGGATGTTATTATTAGAAAACACTTGGATCACAGAGATAATTTTATCTTCTTTTAAAAATGTAGCAAACATGAAAAAAATTACTTCTTTTCTGATCACTATAAAGCATTATAGTTACTAAACAGAAGGAACTGTAAGATACATTTGCATGGCATAGTCAATTTATTTTATATGTCAATGATTAGGCAGGAACTCCTTTTGCCATCACCAATCTTCCATTTTGTATGCATTTGTACCCATACTCTCTGTTCTGCTTCCTGACACTATGGATAAACTGCTGAAAACCAAAGATAAAGAAAAAATCTCAAAGGCAGACACATTACATTAAGGGGAACAAAGATAAAAAGGAAAATGTAGTAGGCATCTTGTCAGAAATCCTGTAAGCCAGAAGAAAATGAACCCTTTGTTTTGGAAATGGGAGAATAATGAAAAATATTTGGTATAACAGGTGATAAGTTGTTTTATTTTTCTCCTTAAAAAACGATAATTACCCGAATCACAGAATTCAGGTCTTCAATTATATTCTTGTTGATGAGAATTGCATCCGAATACTCCAGCAATAATTGGAAATTCTCCAGTTCTACTTGTCCTTGTTTAAGGAGAATTTGGATTGTCAAATTCAACTGGAATTTCACTTTCTCTTCCTGTAATCTAGATTGAAAAAGACTTCAAAGTAAGTAGTTGTACTATATCTCAAGTTTCACCTATTACCTGAGAATATAAATCCAAACTTAATTTTCCTTTAGCTGAAGGAAAATATGCTGGAGATTAATGTGGAAAATATTTTCCCAATGATGAACTTTCCTAGACGTCCTCTTCTTATTGATATGAATTGCACATATTAGGATGCTCAAAGAAGGGTAGAGACAAAAACATATTCATAAAGTTTTACTTTAAGGGCTGGCCAAGTGGCTCAGTTGGTTAAGAGCTCGCTCAAGAGTTTGAGCTCTGAGCAATAGCGGTTCGAGTCCTGGCCCGAGCTGAGCAGCCGCTGAGCTGCCAACAGGTGGCAGGATGGCTCAGCTAAAAAAAAAAAAAAAAGTTCAACATAAAGTTTTACTTTATGTGTAAAAAAAAAGATTAATGTAATTGTGATCATTAAGTGGAATAAAACAGTGATGCTGCCAAATAACAAATCTATTCAAGTTCTGACTACATATTGACTCCTGATATTATATTAACAATGTTTAGTCTATATGGTACTTATCAAATCTATTTTTGGGTAATTCATAGTTCTCCTTACAGCCTAGATCTGAAAATGATGTATAATGTTGAATTGGGGAACATCAGAGAAGTATTTAACAATGTGGCTGTAAATATGGCCAAAAGTGAAGCAAGCATTTAAAACAATATCCCAATCACTCAGCAAAACACAACAAACTCCCCTAAAGAAAAAAAATTAGCTGGTTAGGAGTCTGCATTGAAATTTCTTGGATATCTGCTTCATTTTCCACACTGTTGCTCTTGTGGTTTGAGGCCAAAAGTACTTACTAGCAGGAACAAATTCTTTGTATTTTTATGTGGAAGGAGCAGATTAAAAAATAAGATTTTTTCCAATCTTGCCTATTTTTAATAAGAGCAATGGAACATGTATGTAAGTTCCATTCTGATATAAGGTGTAATGTAACAAAATGCACTTTTTCAAATAGAAGTCATAAAGCCCAAAAAGATAGATCAGCCTCTGCCAGCTGTAAGCCAGTGAGTAGGCATTCTTCCCCTGTGATAATGCAACCTAACTTAGCCCTAGCTTAGACTTTGAATAAATGAATGTGAATGAAAGGTTCAAATTACAGAATGAGTTCTTGGAACACTTTTTCAATTTCCTCTTGCACCTTCTCATCCTCCTCAACTCTCCTCCGGAGGAAAGTCACCATTTCTACTAAGCCAGCTGCTTTCTGCTTTACCTGAAAAAACAAAAAACAAAAAACAAAACCAAACCACAGACATCTCCGAATGTATGGAGCTTTAGAAATAAAAGTAAACTAATTTTAAAGAACTTTAGAAAACATACATCTTTTAATGTTGTTACAAAAGTTTAACAATCCCATCTTTCTAAGAGATTAAAAAAATTTCTGTCTATGCCATTATGTGATATAAGATGTATGAAACTTACATGGTACATTCCATGAATAATTTGGAAAGTGTCAAATTTGCTTCTTGATGAAAATCAAATATGCACGCAACTAGAATTTTTTTATAACTCATTTTAAAATGTGTTCTCATAATCTTAGATAAAATTATAAAATCATAGATGCTTTAGCAAAAACATGCCAGTCCAATGCATGTGGCACTGAATTTAGGGAATTTGGGGGAGGGGAGGCAGGGTGTGGTCAAAAAGTAATACGAGGAAGGATTCTTCCCCCAAGTAAGCACACTCTCAACATGTGACCCTTTGCTATATTAAAAAAAAAAATTCTAGCAAAACTATAAAGTTGGTTCTGGTGAAATATAATTCTAATCTATACAGAAAAGAGATGAGGACTATTGAAGACCAGGGCAGAGAGGTGAGAGAAAGTTCTGTCTACAGCAGTGCTAGCCAAGAGAAATATAGTGTGAGCCATTAATGCAAGTCACATATGTAATTTAAAATTTTATAGTAGCTATATTATAAAAATGAAATTAAACAGGTAAAATTAATTTTGCTAATATATTTTATTTAACATACTATATCCAAAACATTATCATTTCAACTTGTAATGCATACAAAAATATTGAGATATTTTCCATTATTTTTTTCATACTGAGTTTTCTAAATCTGTGTGTATTTTCCACTGATAGCCTATCCCAATTAGGGCTAGCCATATTTATTTCAAGTAAACAATAACCATATGAACAGTGTGGGCCTACACAAGTATAGGCCTATACATGGCCCTCAAGAGCACTAAGATTAATGTTTTATTTCATCATCATTATTATTAACATGACTACTACCCTAGTAGGAAAATCTAAATAATTAGCTTTTCTGGAAATATTGATCACCATAAACTATACACTTTATACTAGTACACTAAAAACTACGTATTTTATATTTGTACACTAAATGAAATGAAATAAAATGTTACATACTTTCTGTTCATTTTCCACTTTCACTCGTCTGGTCATGCAGAAATGTTCCCAGACTGAGGGGTCCAAGCCTTCTGGCATGTTATTAATATTGTCCATATCATCCATGGTTTTCATTAACTGGGCAAAGGCATCTTTATTCAATTTCCCAGATCCTGGTCGCTCTCCAAAAGGCACAATACTGGCCGTATCTGAGTGTACTTTTGGTTTGGGAATCCTGGTATTATCAATAAAAGCCCATAAATCTTTCATATTCTCACACAGACAAAAAAAAAATCAATGTTGTAATATGACCCTTAGCATACGTATGACATTGCATGACACTTTCCTTTGGCATTTGAGGACAGGTGGGTGGATTATTCCAAAGAGGAAAGCACCAACTCTGACCTCCTTCCATACTCTCTGGATCCCCAGACATGACGTTGGCTGGACTATAGATATCCCTAACTGTTGTCAGCATTGGCAAATTTACCTGCAGTAGAAAACATCTCCTTCTTGAAGGAGAGAGTTTCCCAGACAAAGAAAACCTAAAAAAACTCATCACCATTAAACCAGCTTTACAAGTGTTAAAGGGTCTTCTTTAAGCAGAAAAGGAAAGACCATACCAGAAATAAGAAAATATGAGAAAGGAAAAATGCTCCCGTTTGTGTATTTTAAGCTGGCAAGTAAATGCTCAGGAGAAGGGTACATGTTCCCTTGTCTGTCCCATGCATCCTCTGCTGATACTGTTTTGCAGGTGAGTAGCCTGGACTATGTTCAGATATATACAAAACTGGAGAAGTGCCTCTTTTTATCAACCTTAATAGATTAGTTTTTGTTTCCTTGGGCTGTGGCTGGGAAGGGAAGAAGGGTACACAGATTTGTGCCAGGCATTCACTATAAAATGCTTTACAATACACTGTGAAGTTACTATCATTATCCTCTTTCTCTAGATGAGGAAAGTGAGACTCTGAGAGAAGCTATTGGCCCAAGGCCACAGGTCTGATGGTGAAGTTAAGATTTAAAGCTAATTCTGTTGGACAATATAACTTATGCTTTTTTCATTGCTGCCTCCCAATATATGAGAGGTCTTGCTTCTTTCCTCACAGGCTTATTATATCTCAATACTTTAAAAAATAGGGAAATCAAGAGATGAGACATGTCCTAACTTGAGTTCTTTGGGTCGCATGTAACCTGTCAAAGGTGAAGAGGATGAGTTTGTATCTCAGACACAAATGAGCCTATACCTTTGTGACAAATTCTATGATGTCTAGATTATGTTTGATTAAAAATTATGGAAATCTGAACTTATAAAATTTTGGAAATCTGCAGAAATAAAATTCTAATGCTACTCTTAGTATAAAAATCAGATATTTTGGAACTCTTTGGAAAATAGTTATTTTTAATCATTTACACTGGCATTTTTTGAAATTTGTCTTGAACACAATCACATGAGATGCTCTGTGGAAAGAAGATTTGTGGTTAAATAAGTTTGGAAAACACTGCTATTTCTTTTTCTTGGAGGTCCAAAAGCCAAAAACAAGGTCTGAGAAGTTGTTCAGTAAAACTCCTTCACTTTTTTTTTTGCTTAACTTTTTTTTTCAACCCAGTGTTTCCCCAAAATTACTTTGTCCTGGAAGACTTTTACATGTAATTCCAATTCATACTGCAAGGGACTTATATTTGCTGGAATACATCTTAGGAAAAACCATTTATAAATCTATATACCATCCATGACTTAAGAGGAACTACTTTCTTGTATAAAATAGAACCTATAATTGTACTATGCTTACCTACTTAACTATTTTTAAATAATGAAAAGAAATAATTATTCTTCATTCACTATCTATATATTCTTAAAATATAAGAATAATCTAAAAAAACTGAGTTATGATCAAGACACTTGACAATTTCCATGTGAAAGATGTTAGGTTGAATATTTTCTTCTAATTGAGACAAAAAGCTGAAATCCACTAACATTCTTGTTCATTTACAAACTTTTTCTCAGAAATATGATATCAAAGGAGAAACAAACCTTGGTCGGCGTCTAAAAAGTTTGTAGAGCATATCCACCTGATGACTAGGAATTTCAGAAAATTCCTTTTTAAAGCTGCGATCCAGAACCTGAGGACAAACAGATTATTGCCAGGATTGCAATCTTTTCAGAAACATTCTATTTGTTAACAATACCCTTTAAAATATAGGGTTGTATCACTTTGATTTTAAAAATTCATGAAAACTTGTTTTATAAAGTAGACTTCCTGCTAGACTGGGTGACCACTGTGCAAGGCTTTCTTAGAGATTTATTTTGAATAAGAAGAATAATCAGTGAGTTAAAAATATTATTTCATATAAGAGGTCTTAGAAATTACAAAATAATATTTACCCGTAAAACATGCAAGGTACTCTATTCTAATTCTACTCTATTCTATTCTACTCTACTCTAGTCTAGTCTATCCTACTTTTCTATTCCATTCCATTCGATTCCATTTGACTCGATTCGATTCCATTCCATTCCATTCTTTATGCTTTTCTACTCTATTCTTTTTCCTTATAAAACTGCTAGTCATAGTCTGCTAAATTAATATCATAACCAACTAATGGGGCCTGCAGCTTGAAGTTTGAAAAGCCCCAAAATCTAGATGATATCTCTCATTTTTGTGCAAGAGAAAGCTTAAACCAGAGAAGTTTACAAAAATTTATTTTACACAGGGGTTTTCAAAAATATACAATTAGCATAGGATGACATTCACTCATAACTAAGCCATAACTAAGAGTTACTGTAGGAGAAAAATCTATGAGGAAATTAAATGATATTTCTTTTAATTTTCCCCCAAATCCAGGCAGCAGCAACTCTACTGCATTGGTGAGTAGATAAGACAATGGCTCTCACTTTGTCTTCTGCCAGTAAGTTGTCATAGTGTTCCTTGTACACGTCGAGGTCTTCTCTAGCTTTTTGGATGGCCGTGGACGTCTGGTTCTATAATAACATTAGGAATAGCCAGTTGGAACTGAAGATTCTCAGTATAAACAAAAACAATGGGGATAACAAAAAGAATAAAGAATTTCCCAGTACAGGATAAATGTGTCAGTGAAGTATCCATTGCAGATAACATTTACAGAAGAAAGTAAACCAACTGGAGACTTTGAAAGAACAAACATCCAATCACCTGTTTCTGAGTATAGCCAGCAGTATATAAGCGACTACAGAGCACAGCGCATTCTTGGCAGGGCAGTATGGATGATAAAACACGCACAGGCTTGGGAGTTGCCTGGGCCTGGATTCTGAGAGACTAATGATATAAATAGACAATAGCCAGGCCATATATAAAAATAGAACTCTGACCCACAACCTCTGCAGCGATCAGCCCCAAACTGTCAAGACTTGGACAATAACTTTCAGCTTTCTTAATTTTTGCCACCATTTTCAACTTAGGACCAACCAGAAAAAGCCAGATATGCTCTCTAAACCAATCACACAGGTTCCTGGTTTCTAATTAACTTGCCCTCATGCCAATAACTTCCAATCAGGGTGCACCTGACGCCCTCTCTTTTCATTTTAAAGTGTTCCCATTCCTCTTCCTGCCTTTGAGTATCTGCCAAACATAAATGATGGTGGCTGATTCCATTACTATATACCAAGGTCTGAATAAAGAGTCCGTATTCTTATTCAGACAGTCTTTGTTTATTTCCACATCTCCAGTTCCTGCTACATTACATACTAGCGGGTGACTAAAGCAGTTACCAGTTTTTGCAGATGCTGTTTTACAGACTCCTAGCAAAAAAGTATGTAC